AAAGCCCAAGTAGTCTCAGGGGAATAGACTCCCAGCCTGCTCGTGTGCATGCGTACAGGACCCGGCCTGTAGAGGCCCACTCCTGTCTGGGCCCTCTGAGCGCTATAGCAGGACAGGGCTTGCTGGTCCCACGTTGCAGGCTGAGAACTTCAGGGTGCGATATTCAGAGCGAGGTTTGTTTTAATGGTGTGGAGGATCCCCGAAAGCCAGTGCCCATTAGGCATATGACTGCCTCGGCCCCATACTGCCCCTGTGCATCGCTCCCATTGCAGTCTCTGCCCCCATAGCCTTAAGGAAATGTGGGGCCACATTCTGCCCCAGAAAGCTGCGTGTTCATGCCCCCGAGGCAGCTCAGTCCTGCCGGGCGTGAGCCACGGGAGCCGGTCTCACGGGAACATGCCGCTCTCTTTAGGGACGACGCAAATCGCGTGGCAGGCAGCAGGCATGTGGAGCATGGCCACGTGAAGGTTATAGCTAGCTCTGTTTAGCCAGATGTCAAGGGTCCAAAAAAAGACTGGGTGGGAAAGGCTTATTTAAGACCGCTGCAGGGCTTTAGGGAGGCGGAGGAGCTATTGGGAATGTGCTTCTAGGACAGGGGCTGCTTTGGTCATCTGTACGGCAGCACTGCATCACGGGCTCTATGAAATGTCCCCATGGTTAGGGGGGAAATGTGGATAATTATCTCTGCTCGACTAGAGCTGGGCTGGCCTGGGTAGAGCAAATCAGCGCTGTAGCCTGCGGTCCAGGCCAACTTTTTGTGCAGTAGGCTGCTCTGCAATGGATTTGCCCAGAGAGAAAAACAAACGAGACAAAGTGCTTTTTTATATCGGTGTGGGCCTGGTTGAGACTCCCAGCAAATAATCCGCAGCTCATCAAGCCTCCGCGTTGCACTGTTATTAAGCTGCAAGCAGCAATCGCTGCCTGAATTACTTCCAGCATGTGTTCTGTGGAAAAGACAAATATGCTTGAAGTGTTATGGCTTGTGCTGACCCTTCCATCTCAATAACACATGGATCTCTGGGTAGTGTTACCCACGGGATGCTATACCCCCGGAGCAGCCCAGGCTGGCTTGCTGGCATCTCTAGCTCTTTGTAATGTTAGCTTCATCTGCCAGCAGCTGCCATCACCCGTCTGGTTGGGGGTTTAATTTAAGAGAAAAGACAAATGACTCTTTCGCTGTATATATAGGGGAAGAGGGGGCTGGTTTCCAGGTGTCTTTGAAGATCAAAGTGCTGTTCAGCAGCCGAACATGAATTTGTGACTCTGCGAGGCTTTGCACCCAAGGAAACGGTTCTCAGCAGGAGCTGTTAGATGGAGGGTCCTGGGTGGTCCTGCTCTGGGTGCTGTCAGGGCTGGCGCAGGCCATTCTCTTATGGCAGGCCCCACGCGATGCTAAATGCCGATGCATTTGAATGCATTTTGTTACAGTGCAGCAGGGCTTGCTCTCCGCTCTCTCACACCTGCTTTGTCTGCAACCATTTATACCTGCCCATGGCGTGGCTCCGGATTCATGCCCGTATAATGGAGAGGAGAACCCGGCCTCACACAGCCTGGATGAAATATAGGGGCGAGGAGGAGGAGAGGATCTGACAGTAAATCCTGGCTGGAGCTGGAGTACTGATTGTAACGACCTGCGGGTTGGAACACAAGTTGTAGCGGGGATACTTTGGAGGGTGATGCCAGAAAGCTCCACGTGCTTAGGGGATTTTGCAGTGGCTCCAAACACCTGCTGCCCCTCAAGCAGCAGCACGGAGCACATGGCACGTCTAATAAAGATCCACGTTGTTGCAGCCCAAATGAAGTCCCTTTATGGTTGCACAGAGCCCTGTGCATACAGTGCGGTGGCAGTGGATGAGAACCACAGCAAAAAGGGTGTGATTTGAAGCATCACCCACACAGCAAAGAGAGCAGGCAGCACGGAGGGACTCAGACCCTCTACGCGTTCAGATTTCCAGTCAAAGACCCTGGCAGCAGCATGGAAACACTGGAAGGAAGAGTTGACCATGTACACCAGGGGTGGGCAAAATATGGCCTGGGGGCCAGATCCGGTCTGCCATGCCAATCTATCCGGTCCGTGGGACCCCTAAAAATGTAGAAAATTTAGTATTTATTTGCTCCTGGCTGCCTGTCAAAGATGACAAGAGCCAGGGCAGTAGGATCCAGGGGAAGCTGGCAGCAGGACCCAGCAGCAAGGACCCCCCAGCTCCGTCCCCCCAACCAGAAGCCCCTGCCTAGCAGAGGCTTCTGGCCTGGGACTGTGGGGCTGTTCCTGCTTTCCCAAGAGGGAAATGTGGCCCTCGACAGCTTGCCAAAACTTGTAGGTGGCCTTCCGCCCAAAATAATTTCCTGCCCTGAACATGCAGCTGACCACGTCTCTTTATCGCTGCGTGGAGTTCTGTGCCTGAAACAGCCGTGAGCATCAACGTGTCTGTGGTCTCAGGTCAGTGCTCAGCACCACAGGAAGCAGGAAGGTAAATTTTGGGTGGAGTCCAGCTGTTTCTATTGCACAGTGAAGCACATCCTGATTTCAGGCTCGTCCAGGGCCAGGCCAGACCCCTCCCAAGGTGCCTGGCATGGTGTTACAGAAGGAGCACCTGTGAGAGTCAGAATTGAGACTCCAGCTTGGAAGGACCTTGGGGCCAGACTGGAGCCAGGTTCTTGCTATAGGGACAATGGGCAAACTTATGCACGTGGGACAGGATTAGCTTCACACTCGGCTCAAAGCTTAGGCTCCCTCGCTCAAGTCCCGATTCTTTGCTTCCCTCTTTGGCTACCCAGTGACCTTGGTGTCAGCTGGAAGCAAGAACCTGTCCCCTTCTGTCTGGCAGGCTGCATGGGAAGTCTTTCTAGCCTGTGAAGAGCCTGGGAGAGTGTGTTGTGTGACTCAGGGCCCAGACAGGGATGACATTTGCCTAGGTAGGCCTGGAAAATGCTCCCTTGAGACTTCAGGAATGGTAGCTTTAGCTCTCTCAGCCAGGGCTGTCACATCCGACTAATCCTCCTAAGCTCTCTTTCCGTCTCTGTCATCCTGCCTCTCCCCGAACTCAGACTTGCGCTCGCCATGCTGTCTGCCTCGATCTGCATCATGCTACTGGGTGTGCTTGTGCGGTGGACTATAATAGGCAAGGAGGGAAAAAACGGAAAAGCCCTCTGCTAACAGACTCCCCTAGTAAGAAGTGAGGCTGGCATTGATGCCACAGTTCCTTGCTGAGGGGGCATACCGCTGGAAATGACTTCTGTTGGGCACGTGCAAAGAGAGCAATGCCGTTTCTGCAGCGGCTGCCCTAGGTGGAATTCAGCTCTGGACCATTTCTGCTGGATTGATGCGGGACAAGGAAAGGACGCTGTATTCCTCCTGTCCGTGTCCGAGATGGGCATTGAAATCTCCTCTCAAAATGTCCAGATTTCTCGTAGCAGCTTTGTGAGGACAATATAGAGAAAAGATGCAGTGGAGTGTTTATGTGGCTGTCTCCTTCCAGCAGAGGTAGCAGACACCCTTTGCTGTGGGTTTTTTTTTTTTTTGCTCTAAATGGCTATCGTCATCAAAAGCTTCCTAATTTTTGTAAGTGCCCAAGCTTCACGTATGACTGGGTCTTCTCCATGCCTTAGTGGCACGAAGGAGGCTTTGGCTCTGTTTATTTTCCTCTACCCTGTAATCTTGCTGTCCCTCACTCTTCCTCCTCTCTGACATCCTGTCTCTATTAAAAAGCAACCATGTGAGGGCAGGCAGTGGAGCCTCTGGGCTGCGCCCGTAGAGTTTGGGCACTGGGTCCTGTCTCCTCCCTGAGCCTGTCACTGTGCAGAAGTGGCATAGGGATGCTGAGCCCTGGGCACAGTGGCCAGGATGCCCTCTTGCAGACCGGAGCCCGTCATGTGGATGTAGTTTCACCTGCCTGTATCCGCAGCTGCCTACTTTGCAGCATTAGGGAGACGTGGCTTCTGCTGCTGTCGGTGCTGCAGCTACGGGGCCAGGATTAAAATCAAATTGTGTGCTGGCTCTTGAAGCAGCACCCAGGGACACAGCAAGAAGCCCATGGACCTGGCGGCATCTTAATGAGAGCAGAGCTGGTAGGAGAGACCCCAGCCTTGCTGCTTCAGGAGGTCGGAGCCAATTGGTGTCTCTGTGCTGCTGTTGCAAGCTGAGTGCGTGAGTCATTAGAAGTGAGGCCGGAGCGCTGGCCTGGGCAGAGACCGCTGTGGCTATAGCAGGAGGGAAGCCCTGGCAGGAAGTACAAGACGGGGAAAGCCTGGACCCAGGCCGGAAAAAGCAAAATGCAACTGTGCCTCCAAGACAAGGGCTTGCCTACGAGCGAAGGCTGGGTAAGACCCCTATATGCGACGTGCCAGGCCACCCACTACTGCTGCTGGAGACAGGCATGAGCACAAGAGAGCACCGAGACCATCCAGAGCCACGCCAGCCAGGGTTATCCTTCATGGGAGGCCTTGGCCAGGCACAGCACTGGCTTCAGAGCAAGCTGGTTGTGCAAGCAGCTCATCCTGCACCCTTCTGGGGAGAGAACAACCCTGCGATGGGGCCTTTTTTCCAGGGCTGCTTCTTGCTGCCTAGGCAGGGAAGGGGGAGAGGATGCTGGAGCTGATGGGCAGCTCCTGGTGCAAAGCAGCGCCAGCCCCGCTGGCTAATGCAGCAGGCACCGAGGTGGGCTGGGCTGTGCTGGCTGACAGAAGTCCAGCCATGTATTTCCACCATGGGAACTGTCTTTTGAAGCTCCGGCAGATCTTGTTACAGCCTGCATTGGGCCCAGCTTGCTACCAGCCAAGGCTAGAGAATGGAAGAGTGACTTGTTTTCGGTTTTATTTTTGGTCCCATTTTTAAATATGCCTCTTGTGGAGAGGAAGGGCATTTCCTCTTCTCTAGCACTTCCCAGCTAACGATCACAGGCATTCAGGAATGATGCCTAATCAGCAAGGCAAGGGTTATTCACTGCTAAATGGGCCCAGCTGAAGAGCATCAGGTCTCACAAGCTGGCCTGGCCCCCGTCAGCCCTGGGACGGGGCATGTTCCAGAAAGAATCAAGCTCCTGTAGGTGTTAGGGTGCCAGTGGACGGACGGGGTCCCTGAGTCACTCCTCAGCTGCACTGGCCTAGGGACTGCCTTTCAGATGACTTTTGCAGTTGAGTTGGGGACCCAACAGCGCTTCTAGCTGGAGTGAGTGCATTGCCCTAGGTAGTATCACTCCGGGAGGAAAATGCGTGACTTAAATCTCCCTGCCATGTTTGCTACAGGATTGGGGGTCTAGCCCTCCTTGTGCTGCTGTACCCATGTGGTGGACCCCCTTCCCCTGGGAGGGAGCGTGCAGGGGCCCAGTTGCATATCCCCTTCCAGAGGAGGGGTCTTCTTGGTGGTTGATTAACTGGTCCCCAGGTTGGTACTGCAGGCTTTCGTGCTGTGAGGCCAGAGCCAGGACAGCTCTGTGCATAGCCAATGCCCTGGGAATGCCTCCAGTGTGCGTGGCTGGTAAATGCGCTCCGTCTGCCTTGTGGTGCAGAGCCAGGGTTAGGGGCTGTATTGGGTCATCAGGAAGAGGCTGTGCCCAAGTCCTTCCCTATGAATGCTCGCTTTCCCCTATGTGTGTGACCACACCTGCCTGTTGCAATGCAGCGGGTACAACTCCAGCACCTCATGCCTGGCTAACAAGTGGTACTGGGAAGTGTAGCAATCTCACTTGAGCCTCTCTCTGTCTGCAGCCCAGTAGGATCAATAGATTGGAAGCTGCTGCATAAGCAGAAAGCTGTGGGTTGTGTTCCCTCCTCCAGCAATCTGTCATTCCCAATTCCCACCCACCGGGGTCTTGTGCAGATCCTGGAGGGAGTGCAGACCCCAGCCCTGGGCTGTTAACAGGTGTTATGCATGCAGGTGCTTTGCCTGCTGCTCCGGAGGGCATGCTTAGACGTGGAAGGTGAGCTGAGACAAGTCCATGGAGCTCTATAGACCTAGGAGTAGGATCCTTCCTTAGTGATTTACGGGTCAGAGGAAAGCGGTCAGATTTGCTTTGCCTCAGTCTGTTGGACTTGGGGGAGAATTTTGTCTTGCATTTTTAGTCTGCTTTTGAGAGGTTCTGCACCTGAATCTTTGGACGCTTAGAAATGCCTGCTGGGCTTTTGGGAGCAGCTTACAAATGCAGGATTTCTTGCAGAATACCAATGTTGAGTGAAGCTAGGCTAGAGAGCAAAAGGTAGGAGCAGATCTTCCAGCCACAGCAACTAGCTAGTAGAGTAGAGCTGTCTGCCCACGATCCTTTCTCTGCCTACACTGTCTTGTAGTTTTTTTTTATTTCCATGTTGGTTATTTCCCATCACAATCAATTAACTCACATAGGTCAGTGCTAGGGGAGCTGAATTAGTTCCCCAGCTTTTACTGCACATAGGTTTGTTATGGCTGACAAACAGAGAAGATGGCTCTTGGCAGGAGTTGGGATGTTTTGATCTGCACTTCATTTTTTTTAGTACACAGATTTTATATCCTGCCCCTCAAGCTGCTTCTGTTGCTTTGCCTGAGCTCGTGCTCCTGCAAGCCTTGTTCTTCCCGATGCCTCACTTAGCTCTCCACTCGGAGCCTGATGTTTGCAATCGCTTCCCTGATGAGGACAATACGTACCATAGCCTTAGCTTCCGGCTAACTCGGACACCCCTGAATTGCTCTTTGTGAGGTTCCTTACCGGAAATTGTGGGGAGCCCCAAAATATCAAAGCTGCTGTTTAGGAACAACGCAGCCTGTTTCCTTCCGTGTCTGACTTTTGAAATGCAGTGAAACGCCTTCGGAGAGTATGCAATATATAAGCCTTGCTTTGGTTTAAAGGAACATTTTGTAAAGAGTTGATAAGGGGTAACAAATGGCTGCCAGGTGCTCTAAGCTGGGCACATAGGTGAATAGCCTGTGTTGTTTACATGATGGTCTGCACGTGGCAGACAGGCATGGTTTGCACATGGCAGACAGGCATGGGGTGCAGCCTAGTTGAGATGGGAGGGGTATGCAGGTGTAATTAATGCACTCAAACAAATAAAACAGCGGTAGAAACCCACAGAGATAAAGAAGGGAGGCTAATGGGCCGTTCTTCCATGGAGCCAAGGGTCCAGATCCTGCCCATATGCGATGGAAGGGATATTGCTGGTCCTGAGCATTGCTTGCTGCTCTGTGCGATGTGCCCTGAGGCATGAAATGGTGGCACGAGACTGAACCTGGGGCCACGCATGTGGCCGTGGTGTCCGGGAGGAGCTACTTCTGCATGTGTGGGCACCCTCAGACCCTCCTTGTGTGTCCAAAGACAAACTGCTTCTGTGAGACAAGTCAGAAAGTTGCAGTTTGGGGTCTCTCTGCAGGCTGAGAGCCCTCCCATGTTTCATCCTATCCGGAGTTGTCAACGGTGATGGTGCTTGCTAATCGATTATACTGGGAAGGCAACCAAAGATCCCCAAGGCAGACTGAGACCCTGCTGTATTACAGGTAGTCGTGTCATGGTCCCTGTCCTGGAGGTTGTCTGTAACCTAAAACAAGGCACAGCCAGTGAGAGTAACAAATGGTGGGAGGGCAGAGGATAGCAAGGCAGTGGGAACAGGAATAAGCACCAACATTTACTTAAGCATGTTGGGATTTGCACACAACAGTGGGACTGCCGTGTTTTGTGTTGAGGCCCAAAACCATGTAAGAAGCTGCAGTTTCATTCAGTTGTAATGAAAACGGTCCAGTTCACTCCAGAGTGTTAGTTTGCTGTACCTTTTTCGAAATGTTTCTAGCTAATCATTCCTCTTTTTTCCCCTTAATTCTCTGCTTTATTTGCATGGCTGTAAGCAGATGAAGTCATCTGACATCGACCAGGAACTCTTCACTGAAAGCTATTGCAAAGTCTGCAGTGCTCAGCTGATATCTGAATCTCAGCGGGTGGCTCATTATGAGGTAAAGTCATTTTTGAGACTCGGATTTGGGAACGCGGTTTCACAAAGGTTGCGCTGTATTTGCTGGAGGTCCTCCCCTCTGATGTCATGTCACTATGGTTTAGTGCCGGTCCGGAAACCTGGAGTCTGCCCTTTAAAACCTGCAGCGTCTTGCTTAGACAACAGCAAAAATTGTCCCTGAGCCCCATGCATTCAGTAGTAGGTCTGGTTAAATGCCAGCAAACCTTCCCCTTGTTTTCGTTTCTCACTGGCATTTAAGGATTTCTGGCAATGCTGCTGCAATGTTCAGGGCATTTGTTTTCCTGCTTGGATCTACTGTGAAGAAATGATCCTTTGTAGAACTATTGAAGGAATCCTTGAAAATGAGGCAATGCACAAAAGGAGGCGCGTTTGCAGATAGCTCGGTCGCTGATCACCCAGGAGTTCAAGGTAGACAACGCGAATGAGAACAGAAAAGCAGAACACCGGTGCAGTTTAACTGTGGGCTAATTCATTCTCGTTATGCCGTTCTCTAACTCGGCGCTCAGGTTTTCCATAGGGCCTGTGCTACAATGCCTGCTGTATCTCTCGCTGCTGACCGACCTTGAAGTCACTTGTCCAGACCCTAGAAAAACTAGTTTTAAAAGCAAGGTAGGTGGGGAGGGGGCTCAATTAAGAGTTTGATTAGTTAAACTCAAGTTTTTTTAGATTAAACATGCTGCACTATCCATTGCTGAGCAGAAACTGCTAATTGTGCAGAGAATAGATTAGTATTTGTTGAATGTATTTAAGCACTTAAGAGGTAGGCAAGCTATAAACAATTAGAAAGGATATATCATTAGAGACATGTTAGAACAGCAATTAACAGCGCTGCACATCTTCCCAACAAAATGAAATGCATTCCTGTTAGAGGGGAGGGAGTCCCTGAGGGACACCCCATCCTGTAATGCTGGCAAAGGGAAAAGACCCCTGTGCTGTCCACACCGGGACACCTGCCGTTCAGGCGATAAGAAACCTACAGTCCTGGAGCTGCTTTGGAAATAGCAGAAGGTGATCAGAAAGGTGAGGCGGCTTGGTGGCTTGACTAAGGGTAGCCAGGGGTGAGAAATGAAAGCTGGACTCAGATGGGAATAGGGATCAGGAAGGGAAAGGAAAGTGTACGCACTGCAGAGCATGGATTATAAAGGGACCTTGGTGACATGCCCTCTCTTAGCAGCAGCCAGCTATGCTTGTATAGGAAGGGGCGGGGGGGGTGGGGGGGAGATATGATTTTACTGAAAACCTCCAGGGGGAAAAGAAATGATTTCTGCCAGGAGCTTGTGAGCAGTTGGGTTTTAATGACTTGGAGAGGGAGAAAACTCAGCTGACACCATCAGAACTTGTGTCAGTGCCCACAAATCATGGCTTTCCCACAGACTGCTTGGTTGGCCTGAACCTCGGCTCCCGTTGGCGCGAGTCTTTTGCCATGGGTAGGAGAGAGGGAGAGAATTGTCCTACGGTTGCCAGTGGAAACATAGCAGAGGTGCGTGATGTGCAAGGACATCACATTGCATTAATAAATCATGATGACAATAGCATGCAGTTATTTATAAGGCACTTCTCATGCCCTGAGGAACTTGCCAAACCAGTCTTGCCCGGTAAACTTGGAGCGAAGCAGAGATCCCCAGCAGCTGCTGCAAAGAGGAAGGCAGCAGTGCTAGGTTGTGCAAGTGCTGGGAAAGGGAGCCAAATCTCAGGCTAGACATGAGCAAGAGCGCAGAATATAGGGGCTGCTGCCTGTGTGCCCACCTCTCCTCCTTCCTGTGCCACTGCAGGTGCAAGCAGCATTGTTAATTCAGAGCAGATGTTCTGGAAATGGGGAAAACAACCTGGTTTTGCGTCGGGTA